CTAAATAAACTTTAATGAAAACTTTATAAACCTTGTTATTTAGCTTTTCTTATGAGAAAAAAATTCATGACAATTCTCACTTCAGTTTTACCTTGGTTACAGATTATATACATTCAAAACTCTGCATGATTATATCCTTACATTGTTCCTTGTTGGTAAGGCTCCCATGAGATTAGGTTTCTCTGAAGAAGGGCATGTGTTCCCATGTTCCTTGTAAGAAGGGTAGCCTAACTGCTTTAACAAAGCTAATTATATTATAATTCAAGCACAACAAGTTCACATGTTGCTCATGTAGCAGACTTAGATGGGTGAAGTAATTAATATGCTTATGAGGTTCAAAGAGGCTTTTCTGTGTTTAAGGTGTGCCTTCCAGGGTTGCTCTGAAGGTTGTCTAATTCTAGACAGAAAAGGGGAAAGAGCTCTGAAGGGCCCACACAGGAGGTTTTGATGGATCAAGGCAGTTCGTACCATTAGTTAGAACTTAGTCATAGGGCGCCACACCTAAATTTCAGGAAAGGCACAGAAACAGTCCAATTTAAGGCTCAGAAGTAAGAACAGGATTTTGTGATCAGAGAGGAGTCTCTGCTGTACTTGATGGAGCTCTTTGCCAAGAACTTCTCAGAATTGTAATAATAATGACAGTGACTTTGCCAATTGTATAGCACTTTAATTTTACAAGATAGAGAAGAATTAGATCTGATTCCCAGTCTCAAGGATCTCAGTACAGTTGTGAAAGGAAAATGAACAAATCTGATTTTTAATAAAAGCTTTTGGAATTTTTCAAATGGCAAAAGTCTCTACCTTACAAGCTGCGGTACTGTAAAGGTAGGTATGAACTTAGATTTCTCTGCAAACCTTCTCCTACTTACTAACGTTCTTAACGGAGGACAAAAATCTGCATGGTCACGAGAAAGTCAAGAAGACCAGATTCTATAAATCAAAAGATCTCTTTCTTGTCATCCAACTCGCTAATTCTTAATTATACATGCATTCTCTTAAAAAGGATAAAATAGCCAGGTGTAGTGGTGCACGCCTTTAATACCAGCACTTGGGAGGCAGAGGCAGGCGGATCTCTGTGAGTTCAAGGCCAGTCCGGTCTACATAGTGAGTTCCAGGACAGCTGGGGCTACAGGGATACCATGTCTCAAAAAGACCAAAAAAAAAAAAAAAAAGATAAAATGGATTTTATGGCAATATACAAAAATAATATTCCTTCTACTAGGGAACACAAGGAAGCCTTTCTTCATAACTTACGAGGGCATACTGGATAAACTACAAAGATTGTTATCATTCTGAATCCCGTATAGTTGACATTCAACCTCAGAAATGCCTAGAAAAAATGTGAATTTTAAACAAAGAATATAATTTTTTGCTTTTTAAATTTGTAAAAAGTGAAAGATATCGGGGCTGGAGAGATGGCTCAGTGGTTAAGAGCACCAACTGCTCTTACAGAGGACCTAGGTTCGATTCCCAGCACCCACATGGCAGCTATGAACCGTC